GACAGCTAATGCTTATCTCTGCTTCACACACCCCTGCACATATGCAGCCTGGAGAGCCATTCTCTCCAAGCAGCAAGCCGCAGACTGTCAGCAGGGTCTTGAGGGAATCCTTGGAAGATCCTTTTCTCCAACTTTATCATCCCAAGTGTCCAGATTACACCATCTAGTGAAACCCTAAACCAGGATGACCCAAACTTTAAGCTCCTCTCTTGTGACGTTTTAAACCCCTTTGGGGCTTCCTAGGTGACCTCGCTGATGCAACACCCTACAAATCTCACACCTTGAGCTATTTTCCAGGCCACCCAACCTCCATTCAGCACCCTAGTGCACCTTTCCAAACCTAACTGTGGTGGAAATAGGTGTCTTTTCATCAATGCCAAATCTAGACTCCAGATTGATCACTATGTGCAAATATATATCCTCTCTGAGCATCAATTAAATTTCCAATTTGTCCAACAAGTCAAGTCCTTTTGCTAGCAAAGTGACTGCACAGGACAAGGACAGATGTCATCCATATGTCTCAGCTTAGCGTTTGTCTTTATGAGAGCTTTCCAGCTGCCATGATGCTGCCCACACAAATTAGGGTCTTGCCAGATCTGAGAAGTTTAATTCTTGCTATTGCAATGCCCTATTATGCTTGGGAATTTACATCAACATGCAGGAAGAATTTACCAACCTATGCAGAAATCTATACTAACAGCTGGCTCCCTTGGTTCTTGAGACAACAAGCCCACACCTCCAACTGTGGGAGAAAAGAAAGATTAGGGCTAAGTATTCCTGAGCAATGTTTCTGCCTGCAGATTTCCAGTGTTTAGAAAATCTTCTTACCTATAAGCATCATCTGATAGATATACATCATTGGTAATGTAGATATAAAGAGTTTTAAAAACATTTTCCACCACATAGTCTCTGTTTCTTCCAATTTGTTTCGTTTCTTTGTCTGAACTCTGTTGTTCAGTTTATACGATTTCCTCAGTGTCCAGTAATCCTTGGCCATGAACTGAAATCTTGGTTTAAAAACTGAAAGTTGTGAGTGAACAGTGGGGCTTGCCAACATCGAGTTTCACTTAGGGTAGTCTAGTTGGGCTTTTTAAGTGAAGGACCCTCAATTTCAGTATCTTTAAGTCTTTTCTTTCAGTCTGGTCAGATTCCCCAGTGGAGACATTCCATTTCCTGCCTGGCTGCCAGCTCAGCCACTTCAAATTTTCAATTTGGAAGTCTGAGTCTCAAAGGAGTCTGGGCTCCCCAGTGCAGAGGCAGACTACTTACCCTTTTCAGATAATGATAAACCTTCTGTCTTTTGCTAGGGATGGGGCGGGGCACCTGCCCAGCTGTATAGAGAAACAAATTTCAACGACTACTAAAGCAGGCTTTCAATCAATGTTCCTTATTTTCGTTCCCCTCTTTCACCCGCACTTCCAGAGGTACCTTGTACTGCCAATTCTGAGCCTTCTGAGGATTTTGTAGTTTAGATCAAGTTGTTCCTCAACTTCTAGTCTAAGAGTTTAGTTTTCTTGAGTTTGCTGAGTAATGTATCACTCAACCATCTGGTTCTCAGCTTCCAAAATTGTGCTGATATCGTCTCCTTTCATATTCTCCTCCATTCTTGTCTGTTTATGCCTTTAAGAGGATTGTTTTGCTGGGATTCAGGAGGCAATTAAAGCAGATGCATGTGTTTAATCCAACATCTTTACCCATGATATTTTAAAGCAACATGCTCATACAAGTGGCAAATGATTGAGACAGAGACAAACGAAGTAGTAACCACCTTTGGATCGTAATGAACCACAAAATAAATATGAATTCACCAATGATGCTGTTGAATTAACAGTTAAAAATGAAACTAGAATATAATTTTAAAATATTACAGAAAATTACTCCTCTGATATTTTTGCCCTTTAGGAGAGAACTATATTTAATTTTGGTTTACACCTTTAGGAGACATTAAGGAAAAGCCCTGAAATAATGGAACCAAAATGAGATTTACAAAACAGATTGTGAAGCCTATGAGTAAAAGTTATTTAACCTGAATGCTGATATGTAACAATATGGCTGATTTCCCAAGGGAAATACTTATTAACTGCTCTCTGTTTCCATAATGGAGGGGGGGGAATCAAAATAAAATAAATTGAAGTTATATCAAGAAAATGGATAATTGAACATTTTAATGGGCATTAGGAGAAGAAGATGAATTTCTCTCTTTGAAATATTTACAAATTTTATCTGTGAAATAGAAGATAGACATGGGCCACATGACATATGTGTGTTTCTTCCTTCTCCAAAATACGCAGTTTATCATCACAATAATATTAATCTCTGTTTTATATTAAGGAGCCCATTCTCCAAGGAAGCCAAGCCTTGGTCTCATTTGTTGGAGTGACTGCTATGGCTTTGCCTGGGCAGATGGAATATGTGTGTTTGGTTTATGCATGCTTCTATCTGAACTCTTCAATTTCCTGCCTCATTAGAAAGCATAGCCAAAAACAGTTTAATTGACTGAGGATCGCTGAAAACAGAGGAAAAGCAATTAAGAATAAAGGCCTTTACAATTCATTTAGATGCTCTGAAACATATTATTGTAAATTATAGAGCATTAGGGTAAGGTTTAGAAGAGGCAATTACCTTATGCTAAATGACTGTTTCTGAGCATATCTCAAAGACAGGTAATTTACAGCTTGAAGTAGTGAAAATAATTTTCTGTTTTGCAAAAAATATTAAAAATCACCAAAGTACTTCTAAATTCAACTCTTACATTAAAGAGGAAAAATTAGTACTGTGAATATTTGTGTTTAGACATTGAAGGAATTTTAAAAGACATGTTTCAAATTAAGAAAAATTATACTGAAATACATCTCTTCTTTTAAGGGCAGAACAATAAATATTATGCAAAGTTTCAAACTGTGATTATTGAATTTCACATATATTATAAGGCATCCAGTTTGTAATTTGATGTAATAAAGATATATGTACATTTAATATGATGATTTGTAAAAGTATAACTATATGTTAATTACCTATTTGTTTTATCTATTAAGTTACTAGAATAAGATGTATTAATATCAACCAAACATTCCAGGTAGATAGTAAGATAGTAATACTGGAGAGCAGGTGATTTCATATCACTCTTTGGGATCAGCATCCATTAGAACCTCGTTGGCCTCCCATTCATTCTTCAGTCTGTAGCCAGAGATTCTAGTCCTGTGAGTGGTGTGATATGTTTTTGTTCTGTTTGCTTTGTGACATAGGAATGTGAATGTAGAGTGATTGCTTTTTGGATAATGATAGCTAATGCTGTGTATCTACTGGGGCTTTTCCCTTAATAATTCCATGTGAAACAATAATTGTTTTTCTTTCCTAACCAGGATGGGCCTACATTGTTTTTAAAAGATTGTTTTAATTGAAAACTTTTAGGAAAACGGATTTTCCTCAGAAGTAATTTACTCTTTATTTAAAAAATTACAGAAAATAGAATATACATATCTGTGAAATAAACCTTTGCAATTCAATTAAATCAGCTAAACTGAGTGAAAAGACTGGAGAACATGGAAGTAACTCTCTACAAGATCTATATGATTTGGCCTTTGTGTTTTCTCAGCTAGAGTTTCTAGTATATTGTTGTCATTTGGTCTTTAGTTACAAAATAAACACTAATTTCCTTAGTTAAAAAAAAAAAAGAAACTTTTCTGGAAGATTTGTCTGCACCAGACCCAGGCTAAAGTTTTAAAATTGAATGTTCATTTCTTATTACACACATATATCTTTTTTAAAAAAGTGTAAATTATTTTAAAATAAAACCATTTAAATTACTAAGGAATTTTTGAAGAAATTATGCAAAAAAAAAAAAAGATAAAACAATGTGATTAACTTCTTTTCATGGCAAGGATAGATGCTCCTCAAGTTTTCTGTTTGAAATCTAGTTATTCATATATTAGATTTTAAAAATGTGAAGTATACTAAATGTAAACAAACCAAGCAATTTTAAGAAAGACTCCAATGATAGATTGTATATATAATGGCCCTTGAATGAGTTAACGATTTTACCAAAATTATATAGTAATAAAATATTCAATATGCTTCTTTTTAGTTATCTGTTGCTGCATAAGAAAATACCTCCAAACTTTAGTGGCGTAAAACATTTATCTCACACTTCACATTACAGACATTTATTATCTCACATTTTTATGGGTCGGGGACTTGTGTTGCTTAATTGTGTGATCTGGCTCAGGATCTCTAATGAAGTTGCAGTCAGGATGTCATTGAGGGCTGCAGTCATTTGGAGGCTTGACTAGGGTGGGATGATCTGCTTCCAAGCTCACGTGCATGGCCACCAGCAGGTCGCACCAGTTCTTCCCCATGTGGGCCTCTCCACAGGACTTCTTGGGTGCTGTCACTTCATGTCAACTGCTTTCCTCTAATGAGTGATCTAAGAAAGAAAGCAAGTAGGAAGCTACAATGTCTTTTATGACCTCATCTCTCTAGTTGCACCCCATTAAATCAGCATTTTTCTTTTCATTAGAAATGAAAAGTCTACCCCCCATTCAAAAATAGGAGAATTAAACTCCAACTTTGGAAGACAGTGTCAAAGAATTTGTGAATATATTTCAAATCACCATACAAATATTCACACCATTACTAAAAAGTGCCTTAAAGTTAGTATTAAATCATTTTTTAATGTGAACCTAAATTCTCTCCACATGCCATTACCAGAGGTTAGATTCCATGCTAGTGTTCTGTCCATAGACTGTTACATCTCAGAAGTACCGAAAATTCTCAACTTTCTGAGTGACGCAGCTTAGCTGCATCTATACACAAACTTAACTTCGTGCAATCAATTTAATTTGTCTAATCAAAAAACTCAGCAGTCAGACCAGTTGGTAAATTAGATGTGCTTAAATTGAAAACTAAATCTTTTTGTTTAATTTCAGGTAAAAAAATTTTTTGAAATTTTTTGACATAAAATATTTCTGTTCCATGATATATTTTTTTTTCTATACATGAAGAGAGGATGGCTGTGTTCCTATCCCAGCTCAAGCTGCCAGCAGCCATGTTGGCTGCCCAAGCTCATGGGAGGCCTGGGCCACCAGGGAAGGATGGGTTGCCTGGGCCACCAGGAGACCCTGGACCCCAAGGTAAGTCTTGAAGTGTAATATTGGCTTATTAATTTTTAACTCTCTGTATTTATAACATGTTAGTCATAGTTAAGGAAAAAAGTATGTATGTATGTACCTTATATATATATTACATATATGTTCCATATGAAACCATTTTATATATTACAAGCTATTCCATATGAAACCATTTTATGTATTATGTATATGTGTACATGCTACATATGTACATTCTAGAAGTAGATGTTTATGACTTCAAATTTAAAACTGAATGATAGTTACCTGCTATTCTAAATGTATTGTAATAATAATATTTATTATAACAATAACAGCAATAATGTGTGCTTATATATCATTATTATCTAGGAATCTTAGAATTTTTTAGGCCTCCCATTTTTATGTAAGTTAAATAAATCTCCATCATCTTAGTATCTTAAAGAAACTGGGGAAAGAGTTTTAGGAGACTCTACTACAAATAGTTATTTGGTTCTAAAATATATTTTTAAGAAATTTTAGAATCTTTTTTTCTTTGAATAGAGCTTGTGAATGGTAACTTGAATGTTAAATAATTTTGTGCATGATTTTTAAAGTTCTTAAAACCCAACTTATATTGGCAACAAATTTTATTCTGCTTATGACAACTTGACAAGAGACATAGTCTTATGTATAGCTTAACTAAATTAATCTGACAATGCCATTTTCTAGAAATATAATTATCAATCCAGCAAAGTGATCAAATAGGCCCAGGCTTAGAAGAGTCACAATCCTGAAAGGGAAATATTAAATTCAGTGAGTATATATCATGAAAGATAAGACCAGGAAAACTGCTTCTTACTGTTAACCATGGAGGAGTTCAGATTCCTTCCTTGAAATAATTAAAAGCAGCTTGTATAAAGAAAGAAAAGAGGAAATTAACACCAACATTAAATAGGAATGCAGCCCAAAATAATGTGTACGCAAAGAAGTGTTTTTCTGTCACCAGTTTCCTTCCTAGTGCTACTCTGTAATATTGAGCCTCATTTTCTGAAGTGTCCCAAGGTGACTGATGTGCCCTTCCTCTTCTGAAAGAGCAACACCTTTTCAGTTCCTATAACAGCGCCTATTAGGATAATATAACCTTATAACCTGTAACTATGATTGCCAAGTCTTTGCGTTTAGTTAGCACAATATAAAACAGCAACAGTTAAAATCTCTCTAATTTTTTTTTAAACCAAACATATATTCCACCATTATCTTTAGATTAGAGTGAAGTTTGGCAGATTGATGAAGGAAAGAGCAAAGTATAGGTTGAGGAGTAGCCCCCTATGTTTACACTATTGTGTAGAGGGGGCTAATTTTTATCTTTCACTAGTTGGATCTGTTCTGAAGTCAGAGTATATGAGACTGGCATTCAGATCTTGAAAGCTCATCTGAAAATGTGCAATACCTCCAACCACATGAAGAATAAGCAGTGTAAACACCAATAGGAAGAAAACTTCATATAGATCCTTCAAACAGCAGTGGTTTGAGAGGACAAGAACAACGGAAAATTGAGATGATCCAGGAAAACAGCTCTGGAGCTGGAGTCTCCCGTTCACTGAAACACCTGGCTTCAGACACCTCATAGGTGCAGCAAAGGCCCATTTGGAAGGCTCTCAGTCAGAGGCAATTCCAAACCCACAGTATCAGTGAAGCTTTTGGAAATAAGCCTTCTGTTCACCACTCCATTTGCCCTTCCTTTTGCAAAAGATTTCCATGAATTTCATCTGCTGTTGTGCCTCAGAGATGTTATAGACTACCTCTACGGATAGGGCTTCTGGATGGAATTCTTGAATTTGGAAGATATCTCCACATGATTTCCAATTTTTTGTGAACCAAGGGTTGCTGAAATTGTCAAAACTTTTGTCTCCCCATAGGGTTTCTGACAATAGACATATCTTGGCTACAACTTAGCAGATGTCTCCTTAACCTTTACATAATGCTTTCTTTTCAGTATTTGTTAAATTTGGCCAAAATTCATCAACAAAATAAATAAATAAAACTTGAAAAACATGGAATTCATTTTTAAGGAATATTGGTTTCTTAAAAATATTTGTTTTTAAGGAATATCAGTACAGTAGGCATGCTGTACTGTAATCCTGCCTAAAGACACAGAGAAATCTCACTGAAAAGAAAGGAAATGAGAGGCTGCTGTTTAATTTTTGGTGCCTCTCCAGAAGTGCACAAGAAATTGAAGGGTTTTTCTCTAACAGATAAATAGGTGTGATGTGCTCAGAAGATGAAGTTGTACATGTAACCTACAAGCTCTTCTCTGCTCAATTTAAGGGTTTTCTCAAAAAGGATAGAAAAAAATGCATTTAAAATCACCAATGACCATGCAAACCTCAGATGCAATTGTCTGAATTAGTCCTCTTTATGACACAGCGTGATTGAGTTTAAGAAAGGGTTGAAGTCAGAATGCAATATAGGTTGGGAAAGAAAAGATGGCTACTGAATGTAACACAGTGTGTTCTGCACTCATTAATTCTGTCTGATGGAGGTTCTTCTGAAATTTCTAAAAGAGACGTATTTTGTTTTGTGTTCAGTGTTTGTCAGGAAAGACATCCATTTGGTTCTGAAATATATTTTTAAGAAATTTTAGAACCTTTTTGCTGATAGAGCTTGTGGATGGTAACTTTTGAACTTTAAATAATTCTTCATATGTTTTCTAAAGTTTTTAAAACAAAACTTTGCTTATATTGGCAAAAAACTTTGTTCCACTTATGACAACTTGATGAAAGGTATGATCTTAAATATAGCTTAACTAAATTAATCTGAAATTTAAAATTAAAGTTGAGTGGTTTGGTTTGAAATGTGCGCTATGGAATGAGTCCTTTATCAACTTATCTTTATGGAAGACAAAATTATAAAGGGGTTTCATAACGTTTCCTGTGCTTATTCTGAGAAGCAGGAAACATATAGAAAGCAGTGAGAAAATCGGTGACGTGAAAGGTACACAATTCTGAAAAAAGGAATGGCCACTCCTACCAAGATTCTGACAATGAAAGCTTGAGGATCCTCCTTCAGCACCCTGCCCTTCTTAAAGTGAAAAGAAAGACCATTAGGACTCTATGTTGCATCACCTCATTTGCATTTTGCCTAAATTTCCAAAGGGGTGATTGTTGATGTCTTTTTTAATTCAAAAGTGTTTCCAAACAGCGTTTAGATTTTAACCATCCCATGGGGTCTGATTATTGTGCCTTGACAGAACTTTCCTTGGTGTCCATTCCCACCTTGGGCCTGCAGCGCTGGGCCTCATGGCTGGTTCTCCCAGGTATGAGCTAAAATGTGTCACGTCAGAATCAAAGAAACCCCAAGAAGCATGATTTAGCTGGGTTCCATTATATAAACAGGAGAGGTGAATTTGTCTTACAGACCTTATTCTTTTGAGTGAATTCTATGAGAAAAAACTTCATTTAAACTTTCTCAAACACAGCTGATTCTCCATCGCCTGTTCCACCCAAGGAATAGATGCCACACCTAAAGCCCTACTCATTTCAGAAGGAACCTCACATGTGGGACCAGTAGGAGAAAACAGCTACACCCATTCCATGTACCTTGCATCAGTTCCAAAAGGACAGTAGTGGGAGTAGTTGTTCTTACTTGTGTACTTTTAAAGTAATTGATCATACATACTGTTTATAGGAAGCACTGGTTTATAACGAAGGAAACCTGTTATTCGTAAGCCAGTGGTCCATAGGGTAGCTCATGTGATGCATAGATTCGACCTTTCAAATTTATTAGCATTAGGGGCCTTTGGATATGGGAGGATGTGTGAATGTGTGTCAAAATGACTGAAAGGTGCTACTGTCAATTGGTGGACTGGAACCAGGAAGGCTAAACAACTTGTAAGGCATGAGGAAACCCCCAACCCCATCACCCCCGCCATGCCCACCATTAACAATTGTCCCTCCTAAAATACCAATAACATCGTTTTCTGGCCTTTTTCCAGTATGTATATAGGTGCACGGATTTAAAATGTTAGAAGTAAATCTCTGGAGTCTAAACTGAAATCTTCCTACTAGAAATAAACACAGTCTACCACCCGAAAAACTGTACCAAGCACCAAATTTCATCAATGACTAGTACTCCTCTAGATGCTTTCTATTAGGACACTGCTGGGGTTTTATTTGTTTTCCTATGTGAGCTACAGTGATATCAAGCTGTCATCCTGTAGACTT